TAAGTAAACCAAACGATAAAAAATAAAAAAAAATTAAACTAATTTATTTATTGTATTTTTTATGTTCTTTCTCTTCTTCTTCAAAGGTCTCTTTATTATATGGCATTCTAAGATTTATAGCTTGCAAGTATATAATATATATTTCCATAAAATAAACAAATTTATAGCACTCCAATCTCAGCTATGCAGGGTACTTTGCCTTCTATCAGCAGTCATTTACAGTTAATTAAAATGAATAGGTGAAAACAACGGAATGTCAAATGTTTCAAAACAATTTCACCAAACGCCTCAGCGTACACAGTGGAAAAGCTCATTTCCCCACATGTTGCAAAAGTGCTATGAACAAATGAGGAGCCGAGGGGAGGGCATGCAACGTATATTCATGTGTGTGTGTTGTGAGTTTGCCGCACATTGCACTTGAAATAGTTTCGACGCACATACAAATTTCAAATGTTTGGACTGAGCTATATCTGTGTCTATATCTATTTCTATATCTTTCTCTGTTTCTATTTCTGTTTCATTCTATACCATAGATATGCAGATATATGTATACGTATTTATATATATACGGCGAACATCGTATGGCAAAGAGCGCTCGTCTATTATCATAATTTCTTATCAAATGACTCATGAGAAATCGCGTTGTGCGCAACAGTTGGGAATTAGTTGTGGTTGCTCTTGTTGTTGTTGTTGCTTGTTTCGTTTTCTGGCACCGGCCAACTGTAAACAGATAGAAATAATAGAGGGCGAACGCAATATGAACACAACAATTGCATGAATTGTGCAATCTAATTTATATGCTCAAATAAAGGGAGGCAATCAAATACGGAATGGAATTAGTTAGTGGCGCTTGGCTCTGTAGTAAATGGAAATATATACGTATATATTTCCTTATCTAGATGTATGTTACAAATATTTTTAGAATTTTATAGAGCTGTATTTTGGTTACTAACCAGTGTAAAGAAATGCTGGGAGTCTTTATGTAGTCTAAATGTATAAGGGTCTTTATGAAAATTAGTGAAAAACAAAAAGAGATTTGGATGTATGTTGACCTATAAAATTATATGAAATTCAAGAGAGCCTCAGATAGTAAAGTTTTAAATTTTCTGCAAAGACATTCAGTCTTATATTCAATTCATTGAACTTTGATTTATTTGATTTTGATTTATAATTTTCAACAAATTCTGTTCTTACGAAAAACAAAAAAAAAAAAATACTTATAGCTAAAGTTCATTGTACTTATGGGTAATGGTTATAGAATAATTTTGCATTATAAGAGCTTCACTTCCCCATTCAGAACTTTCTTTTCTTTGCGTAATAGATGCAAATTACCTTTTCCAAGAATCCTCAATAGCTGCTCGATAATTGAATACCCTAAGCGCGCATTCAATATAAGCATTGTCTGCTCCTGCTATGGCTTCCCGCATTTCAGTTCTCTTGTGGCAAAATGATAATTATGCCAGGCCTATGCCAGGCAGGCAGGCAACCGACCAGCCAGGCAGACCTGGTAAAAGGATACTCCATAGCCGGCATACACTTTCTCCCCCTTTCGCTGCAGCAAAAAAGGCAAAAGAGCGAAACCGCAAAAGTAGAAAAAAAGGGAAACCACAAAATGTTGCAATTCACTCAGGTAATACAAAGCGTTTCCAAAGAGGGGGGCGTGGCATGCGGTAATAATATGGTGCGGTACCTAATTGTAAATGCAATTATGCAAATGCCAAAAAGGCAGTTACCAAAGCGAAAGAGCAGAGAAGAGCGACTCACAAATGAAGGGTAATCAAGCCAAGCAGACAATTGATAAACGAACCGAGAGACATACGATTGATAAAAGTGCCCGAAAAGAGCAATTAAACCAATATAAATTGTGAACACGCGCCAGAGGCGCAAACAAAACATAAAAGCCAGCAAAGCAAATATATTCCCAAATGTGAAATCGATATGGGCTCGAGCATATTCCCGAAAGGTCGCACCACGAGGGCTGTTGGCCTCAGCATGAGAATGAGAAACGTTTGCTTGAGGAGGGGTTGAGACCGTCCTTAAATAGGGAATACGATATGATATTTGCGTTTACCTTGAGCGAAAAATGCAGCCGCTGATGAGCTCAGAGCCCAAAAATCTGAATCAAGCGATAAGACACATTACAATGCCACGCCTCCCCTATATAGACGATATAAATATATATATATATCTATGTATTTGAGATACATATTTTATATATGTAGAGTATATGCTTCGGATGACGTTGCTTTTTTTTGGCATATGCTGTTTGCTCTTATCTCTGTAATTCTATCAAATTACAATCGAGCAAATGTTTTGGTTCCTGTGCTGAAATCTGATAAGCAACCGGCCCTCCCCTCATAGAGAATCGCTCTACTGTTAAATTAAGTGTGGCATTGTTGGGGAGGAAGGGGCGTAGAGGCTTGTAGGAGGCTTGCATAATAATTATAAAAATAGTCGATTATCGCATGGTTGGGCAGCATTCGATTAATTAATCGACAAAAAATACACAAAAAAGAGCATTTTAATTAGATCATAACAGATAGATACTCTGGAAATTCTTGATATGAGAGTATATGAATTTCTAGAGCATTGTAGAAAAATCTATAATCATTTTTCTTAATATATTATATAAAATATATAATGAATTTCATATAAAACTTCTAGTACTTCAGATATCTGATAATAAATACAAATTGAATACACAAATCTTAATTAAATATAATTCATTATACATACTATAGCAGTTTGATTGATAAAGTCTGGTATTTATTGACTTAGTCAAGCAAGTCAGTGGAAAGATAGTCTATGGCAAACTGTTTTATATATAGAATATTACCTATTCCTGTTTATCTACAAATAGCTATCGTACACGCGCATAGAACAAAGTTCCTTTTGCTGTCCTCACGTCTTTCTTTTTACCTGCCTATCTGAGCTCATGGTTCACTGAGACAAGCCAAGGACTATTTAGAACTTTATTCTTTTGTTGTTGAGCAACTTGTTCACAATGTAGCATATTTGCGGGCGTTCAAGCGTTCATCAATGCATAATAAAACGAGCAGCAGAAAGAGGCAGAAACAGTAGCAGCGGCAGCGGCAGAGGCAGCGGCGGTGGCGGTGGCAGTGACTGTGGCTATGCCTGTGGCAGAGACAAATGACAACGACCCACTTAGCGGCTATGCCTCGCTGAGGTAAGCACAGCGCGCCGCTTTGTTGCATGCATGTGCAATTACGTATACGCCCTGTATTTATTGGCCTGAGCCCACGCTGCGCCGGCCAGGTTAACAAGTGGTCCCGCGAGAGAACACTGCGAGAGCTGAGAGCTGCTGGGACTGCAAGTGGGTGCCGGTGTCGAACACCTACCCACACAGACAGCAGGTAGCAGCACACACACACACACGCACGTACACACAGGCACTGAGAGCACTTGTGCTTGCATTGAAATGGAAAACAAAAGCTGCATGTGAAATGTTGCAAAGGGCGCAATGTTGCCAGCTGGAAAACTTTCAACAGCTGTTCGGCCAGGTTGAAAGTTCATGCGGTAGTAACAGCAGCAACAACAACAACCACAGCAACGACGTTCGCTACGTCCTTGGACTTTATCGGTGTGGCTGCCACAGCAGCTCCCCGAGACCCGGCGTGCTGCAGCCAGCGAAGGACATTTGCTGCTAGCCGGGTGCTGCACACACGAAAATCAATATGGCAAACACTCGAACACTATGGAATGCCATATGCATATCTAGGCAGCGATTGCCCAATGCGTTCCAGCCGATAGCAGCAACAAATTCCACTTGATTAGCACACCAATGAAACAAAAAATGGAAAAAGTTGATAGCTTTCAAAAATGCCCCAAAGAAAACTTAAATGCATAAAACAAAATATACAATTTACGAAATAAACAACAAACACTCGAGGATGAGTTACACTTTAGCCAGAGCTCACTGTGGATGGCCGCGTGCGCTTCGATTTTGATTAGAGCGCAGACAGTAACAACAAAAACAAAAGCAAATCTAAATCAAATAAGCAATGCAAATCGATTGAAACACAGCATTTTTTCAATGTTGTTGTAGCTGCTGCCCTTGTTGTTGTTTGAGTTGCCCGAGTTTGTGTTGTTGTTGCTGCGAACATTTAATTTCTCACACTTTAGTTTTCATTTTCATTTTAAAATGCTTTCAGCTTTAGGCCTCTATTGTTAGTATTATTACCTGTTTAGCGTATGAATGAAATCACATTTAGAATCAAAATCAAATGGCCAAACAGCAGCACCAACAACAACAAACGATAACAACAATCTGCACGAAAAACTCACTTGGCTAAATAAAAAATCAAAATTAAAATTAGTTTTTTGAAATTCTTGGGTCTTATAGCAAAACAAACGCCCACTCTTTATACGGCCCACACGCAACGCGATAACAAGCCTCAACTCAGCCAACAATAATAACAATAACAACAAATAGTAGTAGTAAAAGTAATAAAAGTAAGAGAAATCATAAATTATTGTTGCCTGCGCACTTCGATTTGGTTGGCGGCCCAAAAACTAACGTTAGTTTGGCCAAAAGCAGAAAAACTCTATTCTTTTCTCTCACTGAGAACTCGCTAACGGTTAGCCGAGAAACGTGCGCGGACTCAACACGAACAACCGACGCGTTTCAGTTGCGCCAACAGACTGAATTGTTCGAAGCACAGCTGAGAGAGCGAGCGCAGTCAACAAGAGCAGCGCAGCAGTGACGTCGGCGCCGACAGCAGCGTCGCAAACGCCGGCAGCAGCAGCAGCATTGGGCGATTCTTGATTCAGCTGATTGATAAGAGTCTCAAGCACGCACACACGCACATGTATGCACATACATACGTACAGACACACACACGCACACACTCTGTCATTGCGTTTATCAATTATGAAATGCATTCATTCAAAAGCAAGCAAAATGAATCAAAATAATAAAAATAATATTAATTTGTATTTAAATAAAAAAT